CAAATACTAACATGTATTCGTTTGTTACAGTGTTTTGAGTTAATCCATATACACGTACACTCTCTGATTGACTTTCTAATTGCACATGGTTTTTAAACTTATAAAATATACAAAATATATAAATTGAGAATTGAGTATACATAATCTATATTAATTAAATAAACTATACATAATAAACTCACGTCATTTAATATGTCTAATAAATTTGGTGTTCTAAATATTTTAAGCTCCACTTTATATGATGGCATACGTGACTGTGTATATTCATATCTACATGTATTATCATCATATTCATATTTTACATAACGTAATCCATATGACCAAGTTGCTAAAAATTTATCACCAATGGTTTGAATATTCTCTAATCTATTAAAAGGAATCCATTCGATTACTTCTTCATATTTTGTAGCTTTAAGTTGAAATTCTTTAATACAATCATCGATATCTTTATTTTCACTTGTCCATCCCTGCGTTATCTTCTGAGGGTCACATGTTTGACACCAACCAAACCATGTGTTATATCGCTTGCAATTTGCGCATTTTCCATTATATTCCCTTCTTTTGGAACCAAATTCATCAAATACTAACATATATTCGTCAGTGATTGTGTTTTGAGTTAATCCATATACTTTAAAATCACTATTATTTAACAGTACATAATCTACAAACTTATTAAATATATAAATATAAAATAAAATAAGTTACATAGATAAATTTAAATAATAAATCGCAGTTGAGTAAAAATCGGTGGACAAATAATGATGGAATGCAATAAGTTTGGTAATAATAAAATCATAAGAAAAATACGTTGTAAGTGGAAACGGAGTTCAAGTGGATTTGAAATTCCCTAGTTTAACTAAAAATTCCGTTTCCACTTGCAACGAATGTTAATAAATCGTTATCCGCTAAACTGGATTACTTAGCATAATTAATTTTTCATTGTAAGCTAATTGCATTCCAACGTTATAGAATATCACCGACGTGCTTTATTTTTTTTAACTTACTTCTTCTATCAAATTTTGTCCTCTAAATATTTTAAGCTCCACCTTGCATGATGGTATACGTGACTGTGTATATTCAGATTCATATTTGCCATAAGTAACTTCGTTTGCATAACGTATTCCATCTAACCAAGTTGCCAAAAATTTATCACCAATGTGTTGAATATTCTTTAATCTATTAAAAGGAATCCATTCGATTACTCCTTCATAAGATGTAGCTTTAAGTTGAAATTCCTTAATACAATCATCGACTTCTTTATTTCCGCTTGTCCATTCTTGCGTTATCTTCTGAGGGTCACAAGTTTGACACCAAGCGTAAAATGTATTATATCGCTTGCAATTTGCACATTTTCCATGCACAGAATTTCTTTTAGAACCAAATTCATCAAATACTAACATGTATTCGTTTGTGAATATGTTTTGAGTTAGGCCATATACTTTACTTAACTGTACATAATTTACAAACTTATTAAACATATAAATAACAATTAAAAAACAATTAAAAAACAATTAAAAAACAATTAAAATAAATTTACAGAATATGTCTTTCAATATCACTAAATTATTAATTTACTTAATATTTATCTTACTTCTTTTATAATTTCTATTAAATTTCGTGTTCTAGTCAATGTTTTAAGCTCCACTTTACATGATCGCATACGTGACTGTGTATATCTATATCCATATTCAGCTTCATAGTCATCTTTTACATATCGTATTCCATCTAACCAAGTTGCTAAAAATTTATCACCAATATTTTGAATATCAGTTAATCTATCAAAAGGAATCCATTCAATTACGTCTTCACAAGATGCGGCTTTAAGTTGAAATTCTTTAATACAATCATCGACTTCCTTATTTCCACTTGTCCATCCTTGTGTTGTTTTCCAAGGGTCACATGTTTGACACCAAGCTCTATCTGTGTTAAATCGTTTGCAATTTGCACATTTTTCATTCACTTTATCTCTTTTAAAACCAAATTCATCAAATACTAACATGTATTCGTTTGTTACAGTGTTTTGAGTTAATCCATATACATGTTCATTCTCTAATTGGGCATGATTTTTAAACTTACAAAATATACAATATATATAAATTGAGTATACATTCTATATATTAATTAAATTAACTGATAATAAACTAATATAAACTCACTTCTTTTAAAATATTTTGAAAATTCGATGATTTAGTTAATATTTTAAGCTCCACCTTACATGATCGTATACGTGACTGTGTATATTCATATACAAACTCCTCTTTTACATAACGTATTCCATCTAACCAAGTTGCAGAAAATTTATCACCAATATTTTGAATATTAACTAATCTATCAAAAGGAATCCATTCAATTACGTCTTCATAAGATGTGGCTTTAAGTTGAAGTTCTTTAATGTAAGTATCGATAGCCTTATTTCCACTTGTCCATCCTTGTATTGTCTTCTGAGGGTCACATGTTTGACACCAAGCTCTATCTGTATTAAATCGTTTGCAATTTGCACATTTTCCATAAATTTCTTTTCTTTTAAAACCAAGCTCATAGACCATAATTCTAAGATAATTTAGTGTTAATGTGTTATAAAGAAATTAATCATTGTTATGCGTTATACAGTACAGAACAAGATATCATATTATTAAATTTTTAAATTTTTAACTTTTTTAAAACAAACTAAAAACCGAAATTCTTAGTTTTATTTATTAACAAATCTGAAAGAAAGATTTTTGTTATTTTTAATTTCAAAAAAGTCAACATTGGATATCTTGTATTGCAAAATGTAGCACAAATCTTTGTATGCAATACGTATACAGTACTTTAAAACATATAAATAAATTACTCAGTCAATTGATTTAATCAGGGGATCACCAAATTTCCGCAATACAAGTCAACCGTTTTTGGGCCAAAATTATCAGCTGGGCAGCTTTACTTATGACTTTATTAGTATTTAGTGATTCCGAGGTATTCCAACCCTGAATTTTGGTGCCTGTTTTTTTAAAGTCGTGATCATCGAGTATAAACTTCTTGTACCATATACTGTATACGTATATTTTTTCTTTTAGTCAAGATAATATAAAGATAAAAGATTTTTTTTTTTTTTACAGTCAAGAATTTTGTAATGCGACTAATGTGACTAGCACTAGTAGAATTTGGTCAACCAAAACTGAAACCGGATAATTACTATTTTTAACATTCCTAAATCTGGCCAATAAATTATTAACACGAATTTAATTTCTACGTATAAATAAAAGAGTTTCAAAATCTACAACTTTCCTGAACTACATTCAACTATTTTCGATTATAACCATAAATTCATAAATAATCCTTAACTATCCTCAATTATTCTCAATTATTCTCAACTATTGAAAATATTATGACACTTGCAAAAATTGCATTCAGTGTTATTGGGATATATTCATGTTTCCTGACATGGGGAATTTTACAAGAACGTGTATCGACCACATCATATGGAGAAGGAGAATCAAAACAACAATTTAGATATTTCATTTTTCTTAACATGATTCAATCATTTATGGCATCAATCGTAGCGTCCTTTTATATAAAATTTACAGGACAAAATCTTGAAATGACAGATTCATCTTTATTAAAACAATTCTTATATGTAGCATTTCTTGGAGCTATAGCATCACCATTTGGATATGAAAGTTTAAAACATATCGATTATCCAACATTAGTACTTGGAAAATCATGTAAATTAGTACCAGTTATGCTTATGAATATTATTCTTTATAGAAAAAAATTTCCATTTTATAGATACGTTGTTGTAGGATTAATTACACTTGGAGTATCAAGTTTCATGCTTCTTCAACCCAAATCAGAAAAAAAGAAAACAACCGAACCTAGTTCATTATATGGAATAATATTACTTTCAATTAATTTACTTATTGATGGAATTACCAATTCTACACAAGATCAAATATTTTATAAATATAAAATTTCAGGACAACAAATGATGTTTTTCATGAATTTATTTAGTGGATTTTTAATGTTTTGTTGGTTATTAAATCCATGGAATCAAGAACTTTTTAATGCTTTAACATTTTGTAAACTTCATCCTAATATAATTATTGATATTTTATTATTTTCTTTATGTGGAGCGTTAGGACAATGTTTTATATTTTTTACATTACATAATTTCGGATCATTATTTTTAGTCACTATAACAGTTACTAGAAAATTCTTTACGGTATTATTGTCGGTATTTTTATTTAATCATATTTTAAATATTGGTCAATGGTTTTCAGTTGGATTTGTATTTTTAGGAATAGGGTTAGAAGTATATGTTAAACAGACAGCAAACAAAAAAATACAAAAGGAATTTGACAAAGCAATGTCGGAGGAGAATCAAGAATTGGAGAAATCAATAGATGAAAAAATTAATAGAAAACAAGCTAATGGAATTATCGATAAAATCAAGAAGGATAAGGCTTTGTGAGTACGTAGACTTAAAATAATTAGATGATATAGTTAGATATTTAATGTTAATAATTTCAAACAAATATGAAATTCTTTAAATAATTTGTAATGTTTTTTTTTTTTTTTAAAAAAAAAAAAAATAATTGTAATAAATTTATTGATTAATGTTCATCATCTTTATTTAAGTAAAGATAGGTTTATAACTTTGGAAAAAATTTATAATTTTGCGATAACATCATCAACATTTCTAAAAATCCAATTTCCAAATTTCATAGATCTTGGCCAATAACATGTTACAGGTTTTGATAGAACGTGCATATGAACATGAAAGACTGAATTGAATGGTGGTGAACCGAATCCCATCCTGTAAAATAAATAAAAAGAATTAGTTATTTGTTTGTAAAAAAAAAAAAAAAAAAAAAGATGGAGAGTTATTGTTGCGGCTGAGATCAATTGATTTGATATTGAAATATGTAATTAAACCTTTAAAATTCTTTTATTAATACAGTCCTAATCTAAATATCCAAAAAAATTTGATATATATTTCTTATTATTCTCAATATCAGCCGCAACATTTATTTTTTAGGAAATAAAAACTCATTATGATAACCTACAAATATTTATCAGAGGTAATCGGTGATTCGTCGTTACCAAGTTTTTCGGAAATTATGCGAAATCCTATCTCTTTCATCTTTTTTACTTTAACGAAAGAAAAATGAAACTTTTTAATTAATGATATAATCTAGGGATTTGGTATCGTAAAAAAAAAATTTATGTTGAAGTATCTGCAACTTATCATTATATAGTCTTCAAAAATAGTCTTCAAAAAATATATATATATTTTTTTTTCATTTTTTACAATTTCATATTCTTTGGGTTCTACTTATATAATATACAAACCTAATTCTAGATCCTCTTTTGTAAATCCATTAATATTTTTAATATGACGTTTCGGAATTACTAGAAAATGATGATTTGCAGCGGGATATTTGTCATTAAATGCGACGATTTGTTCGTCCTTTTTTTATTAAAAAAATAATAATAGCGATTACGTATAATTATTCAAGAAAAAAAAAATTCAATAAGGTTAAAAAAAATAATCTACCTCATAGAGTAATGTTGCTGATGGATCATTTCCCGCAGCGATTTTACAAAATATACAGGTCATGTTTATGATGGCGATAATGATGGACCTCTGGAATTTTTTAGTTAAACAACGGGTGGTGTAACACAAAAAAACCACGTGATGCAAGACGATTGAAAATCTAAGTTAATAAATTAAAAGTTTAGTCCGCAAAAATATTGTAAGAAACTTTTCGTTTTTTTATACATTCTGTATTAATTAGCTGCGTCATATATCATTCGCTTTTAGTTAATAATTTGATCAATCGTTTAAATCATTAAATTAATAATCAATAACGATAATCAATTATTAATAATCTATCACTAGATGTCGATATAGCAATTCCATGACGATAATCTTTAGTCATGTGAATGTTAAAAGTTATACATAGTAAACTCATTCGATATCGATACCGAGAATTTTACATAGGGCAATTTAAGCTTCACTAATAAGTGCATCTGGTGTTCATCATTATACGTATAATGAGAGCAACTTGTGCAGTATTCTTAACGAATGACTGTCAAGATTATTTTGTAGGTACGTACTGTACGTACGGCGATAGCAAGCCTTCAAAAAATCATTAGTATGTACGTACGTACGTATTTGGTATTTTACTTTAATTATTGTTATTGCTTGTTATATCAACCAATTAGTGTCACAGAAGCGAGCGACTTTTTTCACACGATATTGTTGCATTCTGTCATAAAACTAAAAAAATGCGTACCTGAAGCAACTACTCTAATAATACCAACCAGGATTTACTTTGCAGATGATTGATTTTTATGTAAGTTAAATATATCGAATACTGTAATTAATACGTATACGTACGTATATACTACGTATAACAAATATTTTTTATCCAATATGCAATATAATCGATATGTTTTAAATAAGTATCTAAAAACAGTAATAAAATAAGAAATAAAATTATACGTACGTACGTACGTACTGTTCAAATACGTAGCTAATATCAAGCTGATAACTATTTTTAATGTTTTAAATAAAAAAAAAAAATTATTTATTTTGTAAAACAATTAAATAGTATATTACATATAGTAACAAATTATATTTAATAAAGTTTTTTTATTTAAAGAAACAACTATATACAATATATAAAAGATAACGACATTACTAAAATGTACTATAGGTGTTTTAACACCATGCTATATCTTAAAAAAATTGTCTAATTAACCAAGGCAAAAACCTTATGATAAGTATCTGACCCCTAGTTATGTATTTTAGTAGTCTGTAGTTGCACCCTAACTCTAGATTTTAGTAAAAAATACACTATAATAATTGAAAAACAAAATTGTTTATATTTGGATATGTATAATATTTTTTAATTAAATAAACACACATATTTAAGTTAAAAATACCGTATATTCACTATATATATATCTGATATATAGATTATAATAGTTTTGCTATACTAAAAATTATATATACGTTAATAAAAAAAAATTGTTTATTATAATTTACTTTCATAATCTTAATAATTAATAATTGATACGTAATGATTTGTAATTTAGTTTTACTACGTACGTACAGTACGTACGTACGTATAATTCGTTATCTGCTATATTTTTTATTATACGTATAAAGTTTAGTAATAATAATATATTATACATATTATAAACATTGGGGTTTGCCTTTTTTTAATAGACAGCAATTGGTTTAAAGCTTATTATACTTATCATGTCATGAATTATATTGTGCGTATAAATAAATTTATTAGAGTTATTAAACCAACATTAAAATAATTATACCTATCACTATCGCTATATCAAAGTTTACTGAGTACGTAGATACGTACAGTTTTATAGTAGGACAATGATCTGTAACGTTAATAATAAGCAGGGGTAAATTTTGGCGCAGCGGACAAGGATTCGACATTTATCATCATATCGATATAAACAAAGTGATTTCTGCAATCAACTCGCAGTAAACAGTGTGGAGAAAATTTTGTTGGTTCCATCTAAATTACTCGAAAACTAATACAAAAACTGATAAACTTTTATTAGAGACTGTTATATAGAAATAAATTTTCTATAATATTACTTAATGAAGGAATATTAGTTAAAAATATCAATTTTTTACAAATATTGCTCAAAGTCAGCTGTTAATTACTGCGGGACCGACTAAAATCTTTAAACTCGTACAGGATACGTACCAGAATGCACAACTAATAAACTGCTATATATATACATATATACATACATAACGATAATATGTATGTATACGTATATATTATCAGTTATTATATATATATATATCTGACATTATGCATGTATATACAGTATCTGACATTATACAGGTATCGATGTTAATGCCGGAGACAAAATCTGTAAGTCCGTACAATATGGCATGTGACAAATATTAATATAGTAGGTAATACAGTATATCAAATCCCATAATTTCAAAAAAAATATAAAATAATAAACAAATTGGAATAGAAGAACTTCATACTTACCTGCCAGGATATAACCATGATCAACAAGGTGGTTGTATAGGTAGTGGTTGCTGGCATTGCACTATAGCTGGAGGCTGCTGCTTCGAACATCCTACGGGGTGTCTCGACTGGATAATTTTTGTCTGCTGGGTGGGACGTGGTTCGCCGCGAACTACCCTTATTTTAACTAGCGGGATGGGTGTGAAAATTTTGGAGTTTTTTTTTTTTTTAAAAAAGAAAATGAACTGATACATTTTGTAACTATATATTTTACATAATAAAATGACTATATTCGTATAATTCATAAATGTATAAAGTTGCCAATAATAACGACAAAAACGTTTAAAGGACCTCCGATAATGATTGAGTGCTTATCCGATGCAGTAAGGTGCAAAGTATAAAATTTTGCGCCTAATTTATTAAAAGGGATATATGCAGTATATAGAGTTATGTAGAAAAAAAAAGAAGTTTTTTTCTATGCGATTGACCTTATCTGACTCGTTACTATCCAATGTTAGAATCAGGTTATATTTAAGTTTAAATTAAAAATGTTACATAGCTTACGTATAAGTTTAAATTAAAAAACTTTTATTTATTTTTATTTTATTTTATGGATGTGCTATTTATTTATTTGCTCCCGTTATTCCTGTATTCATTCTTTTTTTTCCTTTGTCATAAAACAACCATCATACGAGATGCATTCGAATTACTTGCAGGAATAATAAAGACCAAAAATAAATTAAAGTACCAATGATAATAAATATTAACTGATGCGTTATTCTATATGTGACAAACGAAAGTTGAAAAGGAAAAACATATCCGTTTCTCCGATTTATTCTAATACTATTTTTTTGTACTTTATTAAAAAAAGAAAACTCTATCCCATTAAAGGTATCTATTAAAAGGTAAGAAAGAGAAAAAAAAAAAAAAAAAAACCAAAATATCAAAGATATATGGTCAAATAAATTATAAACTATTTTCATTAATTTTAACACGAATGGAAATAAATGAAGTAAATGAAAACTAAAAAAGAACTAAAACCAAACTAAAAACGAACTAAGACCAAACTAAAAACGAACTAAGGGCAAACTAAAAACGAACTAACGATTAAGTATTGTTCTCGTTTTAGATTAACAACGATTTATAATGCGAAAAAAAATGATATCTACATTTACAATGAATGAAAATTAGCAAATAATCCAAAGGATTATCATTTTTTTTAATAATTTCGAATTTTTTATGCATTTCATATTTTAAAAACATATACAAATGATTGTATACTCTGCTTAAACATACATGAAATCATACATATTTAAATACATTGAAGTTTCTCAAAAAGACAGAGATTTTCCTAATGCACATAGTCATCAATCTGAGAATCACCGTGAGTTCGTTTACCTTGAGCAGCCAAATGTGATACACAACTCCAAAGAGTAACATCACCTTTTAACCTTATTTTTCGTTCAATATCTCTATGAGAAATCTTTTCAGAATCACCATCATTACTTTCATTTTCTGTAGTATTACTACTAACAATACTAGTGGCATCATCATCATCCGTAGTTGAATTTGAGCTTTCAACTCTTCTAACAACGAATTTTGTAACACTAGTATTTTTGGCTTTATGTTTCATACTTAAATAATCATTAACAAAGAATCCTAAATCCATAATTAGATGTTCTTTGACAAGTTTGTTTATAACACCACCGTGAGTAACTAAAAGAATATGAGAATTACGTTTGTTTGGTGGAGATGATCCGGCTTCATTTTTTGGTAAATGTTTTGCAATTATATCATCGAAGAAGCCGACCACCTGGGCCTTAAATTCTTCTTCGGGTTCACCATAATCATCCCATGAAGCTTCTTCCTCTTTAATTAAATCTAAAGCATCCTGAATGGATTTTCCACTAAGTCTTCCCATATCCTAATATAATAATATATATATTTAATAAATAATATATTTAATAATATGATTGATATAATACGAATAAATATTTACCCGTTCTCTAAGTCGCATATCTACAGTGAATGGTGTGTCCGGATGATGTTTAGCGATGGCATCTGCCGTCTAAAAAAAAAAAAATGTAAAATGATTAAAAATAATTACTTTTAACAATGACAATTATGACAATTTTTCATGAATATATTTTCTCTTACCTTTTTTGCTCGGGACAAATCACTAGTATAGATATGATCAAATTTTAATTTACGTAACCGTCGCCCAACTATCTCTACCTGTTCTCTTCCCGTTTTATTTAATTTTGTGTCTACACGTCAAAAAAAAAAAAAAAAAAGTCAATACCGATACAATATTCTTTCTATAATGATTTATCATCAATTCATTAAATATATCTTTAAATATATCTTTAGAAACCATACATACCTATATGTCCTTGTATAATATGATTTAAATTTGAGCTAGTTTCTCCATGTCTGACGACGGTAAAGTATAACTGTGGTGGTTTCGCCATATTTGATATGTATGTATATATTCTTTTATGTATAGATAATATAATATATAATATATATATTTATATAAATATATATATAAGTGTATGTGTAGGTATTGAAAATATTGGGTTATGAAAAAAAAATGTATATTTTTGAATATTTTTAATATTTGACAGTTTTACTGTCTCGTCGCTTGAGTGCGGCGGCAGTTAAGATGGTTATCTTTTCTTAATGGGAGGGTATTTAAATATTTTTTTTAAATATTTTTAGAAGGTTGAATAAATGTGGCAATTATTCGTGTTCTGATTTACTTTTTGTTTTTATCTGTACAAAGGAGAAATGTTTTGTTTAACGTGACGATTAATACAAAAAATACAAAAGGCGGTCTATATATACACTTTTCATAATCTGCGAATATTAATGTGATGCAGATTTCTGATGTTTTTTTTTCTTATCAAATAATTAATCATTGCCTCACTAAAAGTGAGTTTATTCTTTGCATAAAGTATTTCATTATCAAGGAGAAGTGTACCTTACAGGATACAGGCTACAATGGGAATAGAAATGATCGGTCTTTATGTAATCCTTTTTTTCATATATACAAAACTGTTGTACTTCCTCCATTGTTGTGCAAAAGATTGCGCATTTTTGAAAGGAGTTCTCCGAGTTGTCCGAATTTGACTTAGGTTTTACCATAATCTCCTATACGTACTCTCTTCATCACAAGTTTCATACAACGTATACCGTAGGCGTTAGAGCCTATTATTTCATCAACGTGACATCTTGTATACTTTGAATAATAAGTCGTTTTTCTAAAAAAAGTATAGATTTATGAAATTCGTGCTACGTTTATTTAAAAATCATATCCGGTTTTTATTCGTTTTTATGACTCTTACTACCCGATACGTGCGTGCGTACGTACGTAAGTACGTACGTATGTAAGTTGGAACGTACCATAAAATTCTAGTATTAACATGTCATAACTGATATGTTATTCTTCTATAAGGTTTATAATATCTACAAATACAGTAAATACTGTATTTATAGTATTAAAGTATTTATAATGTCTATAATGCTTGATAAAGTGATAAAAAACAATATCATGTTATGTGTGAGAGAAAAAAAACTGCCTGAAACATAAGAAATGCACATGTTATTAGTCCAAAATAATTATTTTTTGATCCTACGTATATGTTAAAATGTTTCATGTTTAAACTGTTCATGTTTGTCTTTGTTTTTTTTTACAAACTTCAAATTAAATTAGCCGCATTTACCTGTCAAATTGAGATTGCTTAAGTCATAGTATTCCATCTTGTGACCATTATTTGTACGTACTCAATAATCTTTTATATGGTCTTATAGTTTTGTTTATAAATTTATTATCGTTATCAAATTATAATTGTTTTATCATTTCTAAATCTGTTTTTTTTTTAAAAAAAAAAACTTTATTTTAATATTAGATAACTTACAAAACTTAATTCTAACGCTACGTTTATAAAACTTAATTCTAACGCTAAGTTTATAAAACTTAATTCTAACGCTAAGTTAAAAATTTTTTAAAAATATCACGTGGTACTTTAGTTCGGGATAATTTTTCTCCAAAAGAAAATTTTATAAAACAGTACAAGGAAATCTTAACAATATACGAATTTAAGATTTTTTTCAAATTCTGCAAGTTTATAAAATTCGAATTTTGATTTACTTAGACATCATTAACATCATTACTTAAAAGTTAATTCTTTAACATGAATCTTAAATGGTATCGTGATTTTAAATCTTAAATATTTTTATTCAAGGTTTAGAATAAATAATGTATAGGCCACTTTGTATCACTATGCAGAGGAGGGAATCCCATACCCTAAAACTATTTAATAGTGGAACAGGTTATTTGACAATGCAATTATCTGACAGTCAGTTCACTAGACAATTAACTATATCATTTTTGAGGCGGAAGCAGGGCTTAAACGACCATAGTAATTTGCCGGTCATGCATAAGTTCTGTTCTTGTTCCATAGTATATTAGAATTTAATTGGCCAAAATAACCATTCAATGCATGATTATACTAATATACATAACAAAAGTCGTTCTGTAAAATAATAAGATATAATTTGTTACGGCATTAATTAAAAACTTTAAAGTTTTATCGTTATCGTCGTTATCATTATCATTATATTAAATTCTTTAGATGTTATAAAAAACGTTAATTAAAATTTTATGAATCTTTATTTTCTATTAGCAATACTATAATCGATACATATTTTAGCAAAATTATATTTTATTAAAGACTATTACAAGTGCTAAAAGAATTATTAAACTAATTTTTAATCTAATTTAATATAATCCTTCTTTCTTTCATTTGATACCAAAAATTTAGTGCGTCATTAAAACTAAATTCTGCCTCATCTACCCCTTCTAATCTAACCATCATTAACATATTTAAAGTATTATTATTTAGACTATTACGTAATTTGGTCTTAATTAAATTTTGTTTAGAAAAGCCACGCTCACATTCTACACTAGAAAAAGAGATAGAATATATAATTTCTATTAATTTGATAAGGTTTGAATATAAGTTAGAATAAAATCGAAATAATATAACAAGTAATTTGTCATTTGGTAGGTTGAGGTAATCATTATATATAAATTGTTTAAAATTAAGCCATTCTCTACATGTATTTTTAGAATTAACTATTGCATAGGAAAATAAAAGAAATTGTGGTTTTTCATAAAAATTAAGTAACAAATCTAATTCCTTATTACCAAATTCTAATAGATTTTCATAATTTAATAATCTATCTGATAAGTTGAAAATTTTTATAACATCGACGAAAGGATCATTTAGAAATCGGTTCTGAATTTCTAAAATAATAATAGATATAAAACTCATTATATCAGCTAGTAAATTGTTTTGATTTGGTGTCCAAGTAAGATTATGTAATCCAATCTTCGTATCTTTTCTAGAAGGTACAGTAATAAAAAATTAATTAATATTTGGACCTAATTTTGGAATGCCATCAGTACCTATATCTAAATAGACTTTTTCTAATTTTATAATCATAGTTTGAATTGCAGAATGTATATCGAAAATACAAAAAAATCTAGTTTGAAATAGTTTACTTAAATTCGCAAATTCAAAAAGAATATTTTGAAGAAAATAAAAAAATACTATTGTTCTCCAATCACAAAGATCTAAATATAAATCAAAAATTGAATATTATGTATTTTGATTTTTTGTTTCTATCATAATATTAAGAAGAGTATTAAGAACAGGTTCTACAAATAAACAAAAATTTTTTACTGCTTCATAAAGTGATAACTATCAAATATCAAAAATTTTTTTAATTTTTAAAATAGGCATATTAAGAGCTTCTTGATGTTTTGATAAAGTTTGAACCCATTTATCAGAATTATTAAAAAAAGTATAAACTTTTTTTTAATAATAATTTAGCATATATATAAGATTCTACTTTTTTTTCAGCAGCTTCATAAGTTAATGCTAATCAGTGTGCAATACAATATGTAATAAATATATACAGGTTTAGTTGAGCTATTTGTGTAGCAACAACATTAATATTTCCTTACATTATATTTGCACCATCTAATGCAAATGTGAAGATTTTATGTTGTATTTCTATAAAAAATTAAATATATTAAATAATTAAATATATATTAATACATTGTATAAATAATAAATAAAAAAATTATTAATTTAAATACTTACTTATAGTAACAAATAGATCGATTATAGCATTATAAATTAATTTTGCATCATTAGTTTCAATTTGTAGCAAACTCAAAAATCATATTTTAATAATATCATCAATAAGGTATTTAACATAAATTATAATATGAGATTCTGTAGAAATATCAGTACTTTCATCAACAGTAATTCCTATTGTCATTGCAAGACTTAACTCTTCCCAAATACTTTTTTCAATTGTTGTAGATATTGAAAATAGTAATTCTCGTGCATATGTATTATTTTCATATATAATTAAATAGTTCTCAAAAATCAGATATGGAGCTTCAATAGTGCGACCAAGATGAGTTAATTGCTTAAATTTATTTAATAGAATATCGTTTTTGGCTATGCAGTAAATAATTTTTATTAAACTTATAATATGTTCAGACAGTATATTTAAATGTTCATTTTTTTTACATGAATCGATATGATCTTTAGTTTTAGTATGCTCTTTTAAAGCACTAATTCTAAAGTTTTTAGATCCTTATTAAAATAATTATTAATGATTTGTCTATATAATTAACATGATTTCTGAATTATTTAAATTATTAACACTTACTATTCGTTGCAAATGCATTTTGTTTATTATAAGTGTAACATAAAATACAAAAAATACTATCAATTTAATTGTCATATTCAAATTATGAAAATTTATTTTTCCAACTAGATCGAAAACTTTTACTAAAATTTTGAGATGTTGTTTTCATAATTTTAATTTTATTAAATTTTACATAAGGTACATTTTTTACAAACGGTCTTCAGTATAAATATTTAAAGAACAATAATAAAATTAAAATTTTCTATTCGCTATTTATGTATTGCTATTGTTAACTTATGATATCATACTAATTTTGATGAATCAAAAAAGATACTTTAAACAATAAGCATTAGTGCAGTAAATGACTAGCATATTATTATGATCATTTAAGCCCTGAGCAGAAGGTTTTTTTTTAACACTAAACATCAATAACAATTAAACAATAATCTAATGGCTTTTAATGGGTTTTAATAGGTTTGATATATATGTATTAAATTCTTTGTGTAGAATGAACTCTCAATAAATACAAACAATCACTCTAATCATTCGTCAGACCAATCAAAAAATTAAATAAGGGGTTTAAATTAAATTTAGTAACTTTATAAGAGGTCCAATTGCAACAAATTAACTCATATCATATATAATCATAATGCATTTCAGAAAATTTATAAATTTAAGCTAAATACGGTCACTAAATTCAGATATTTGGTCCTCAAAGTTTTAACATATTTAATAAATCAATACTAAACTCTGGAAATTTTTGGTTCTTTGACCTAGATTGATAACATGTTTAACCTATATTTTCTATAAGTTGTTACATTTTTTAATATATTTTATTAATATAAAAACTTATTATGTATAATAATTTATTCTAAATCATTATAGTAGTTTTCATAGTTTTTTTTTTTTAAAATATTAATGGTGAGGCCATAGTAGTTATTTATGTTAAAAGTAGTATTTTTTATTAGTAGTTAAAATTTTCAAAAACTTTACATAAACTAGATGTTACAGAAAAAAAAAAGAACTTTTTTTTAATATTAAAGATGAGGTTATGCTTTTAACTTTATTGAAATTTAAATAAAATTTTTACAAAAAAATGTTTGTTTTTAAGTTATATATGAAGAATAAAGATTTAAACATATCATCTATAATTTAAACTTATAAAAATAATAAATCTTATTT